CAAATAAATGCAGGCTTGGTGAGCAGAAGAGAATTCTTTAAAAAACATAAAAAATCTTACTGTTCAAAAACTTTTGACTGGTATATTGTGTGTGTATATACAGTATCTCACAGAAGTGAGTACACCCCTCACATTTTTGTAAAATGTAAAAATTTTTGTAAAAATTATCTTTTCATGTGACAACACAACACTGAAGAAATGACACTTTGCTACAATGTAAAGTAGTGAGTGTACAGCTTGTATAACCGTGTAAACTAGCTGTCCCGTCAAAATAACTCAACACAGCCATTAATGTCTAAACCGCTGGCCACAAGGTGTACTCACTTTTGTGGCCAGCGGTTTAGACATTAATGGCTGTGTGTTGAGTTATTTTGAGGGGACAGCAAATTTACACTGTTATACAAGCTGTACACTCACTACTTTACATTGTAGCAAAGTGTCATTTCTATATATATATTCCTCAAATCCATTTCAACGCAAATACAGATTTTTTACTTCTCACCCACATTTGTTCTAAAACCTATTGGACTGACTACCTTCTGTTGAACACTTAAGGTGCATTTTTAAAGAATATTCTGGCTTCTCTTTTTACTGTAAAGAAAATGGATGAGGACTGGGGTATCCAAGCTCTAAAATGACAAAGTCATCATCATGAAGATATCATAAAAATGACTTGTATGTGGTATAAAAGTTTTTTTCATCGAAAAAAATTTGGAGAATTTTAGCATTACATCAACTGCTCATCAGTAGATCCTCTGCAGTGAATGGGTGCCATTAGAATGAGAGTCAGAACAGCTGATAAAAACATCACAATAATCCACAAGTAATCTACACCACTCCAGTCCGTCAATTTATGTCTTGTGCAAATTTCTTGATGGATTGTGATGTGAGAGGACAACAGGGGATGGACTTTTTCACTGGAGGAAGCATTATTATGGATTACAGACTCTCATTTTGGCCAGAATCGACGGTTTAAAATTTAAACGCCTTGATGGATTTGTTTCTTACAAACACGCAGTTTCTCACTTTACAAGATGGTAATTGATGGACTGGAGTCGTGCGGGTTACTTGTGGATTGTTGTTTTTATCAGCTGTTTGCTTTCATTCTAACGGCACCCATTCACTGCAGATGATTCATTGGTGAGCAAGGTATGTAATGCTAAACTTCTCCAAATCTGTTCCGATGAAGAAACAAACTCACCATCCATCTTGGACGGCCTGGGGGTGAGTACAATTCAGCAAATGGCAATTTTTTGGTGAACTGTTCCTTTAGGAAGATTCCGATTCTCTGCCAACACATTTTTCACATGCACGTTTGATCTTCAAATGCGGGAGTTTATCAAACAGATACCTGTAAGCATAGAGAGAGGACTCAGAGCACGAGGTCATCCAGCTGAACAAATTCCCAGCCCAGGCCGTGGTCACAGACCATCAGCCTCGTGGCTCAAATATGCAGTCCATATGGGAGAAGCATATGATGGTGGCGTTCAGCACAGATAAACACTGGCGAAAAGTGCCTACTCACTGCAATCCACTTAATCCAGTCAGCTGTGCAAAGGGCCTCATATCAACAGGTGAGTGGGCTGATAGCAACCTTAAGCCTAAATGATTCTGTGGATGACGGAAAATGGCTGTGCTTCCATCTGCCCTCAAGGGAGGGGGTGAAATGCTATGCTTGTGACGAGGAGATGTGAGCTCAGCGAGAGAAACTTGCTGCTAACGTCTCAGCTGCAGAGATTTTAAACTGCTGAAATAGGCTGACATTGTTCTAAGGTTCCCTCCCCTTCCATAGAAGGCTGTTCCTGAGAAAGGCAGATCTGAAGTCCCTTTCCATTCCTGGAAAAGTCCCACCAGCCTTACATCAGTCATTGTCTTGCCCCCCAGTATCAGCTCCCACATTCTCTGCAACATGTACTTGTCCTTTAAAAGGGAGGGGCATTTTTACAGGCCTTTTGTGAACGCCTATTTATCACGGCTATCAGGGAATGCACAGCCACCGATGGTCTATAAAAATCTGGAGCACTGTGCATCATTATCCCAACAGCCAGAAAGTGTGAACCTGTATTTCAGAAGATACTCCCGTTCCCCCCATAATCAAAATGTACATTAGAATTATCAGGTGTCTGACCTGCAACAATTGTCACGTTAACAATAATGAGGTATTTGAAGATAAATATGAAAAATATCTTGAAATAGCCTTAATCAAATCACTCAGAGATTGTTCTTAAGGACTTCAGCTCTTCTCTCACCTTCCTCCAAGTTGTGTGCATTTTAAGAAATAGATTAAACACTGTGTATTGCACCACAGCCAAGGTTTTGTTTTTTCATGTTTTCAGACGACACGTTAGACATCAGTAGATTATTTAATAATGCTGACTTTGCAAGACATCTGCGTTTGTTTTGATCAACAGAAAGTGAAGGTATTCACTGAAAACAGTTTTCTTTTGTTTGTTGGTTTTTGGTGTGTTTCAGTTTATTGGTTATTTGAGGAATTGCCAAATTAAGAATCAGTCTTGAACACACAGGTTGACCAGTGTTTGTTTAGAGCAGGGTCTTCAACAGGAGGAATTGTTCCACAGCCGTACTGTAGAGGGTCTGCTAATTATGTTAGATTTCATACAAATTTTAAACAAAATACAATTATTAATAATGCCATATTATTTTGAAGTTAAATTAACTTCTACCAAGTTAAATAAGCAAAAATTCAGCTTCTTGTTCCATTGTCCCTACCAGAATAACTTATATTATGTAACAAATAAAATGTGATGTACATGTATGACTCTGAACATTAATCATTATTATAATGGCTTTGGAAAATACACTATCATTCAAAAGTTTGGGGTCGGAAAGATTTTTATTTTTTTATTTATGGAAAGAAGTATCTTATGTTCCCAAGGCTGCATTTGTTTGATCAAAAATACAGTAAAAATAAAAACAGTATAGTAAAATATTGTTTTCAAAGCTGAAATTTCAGCAGCCATTACTCCAGTCTTCAGTGTCACATGATCATTTAGAAATCATACGAATATGCTGATTTGCTGATCAAGAAACATTTCTTCTTATCATTTTTGAAAATGGTAGTGCTGCTGAATGTTTTTGTGGGTTCTTTGAATAGAACGTTCAATAGAACACCATTTATTTGAAATAGAAATACTTTGTAATGTTATAAATGCATTAATTTAATGCATCCATGCTGATTAAAAGTATTACGTTTTTTCAATGAAAAATCTGACTCCAAATTTTGAACGGTATCATAAATTATGTAAATGCATTAATATGATGCTTTACACATGATTTTATAGGCCAGGCTAATCATCAGTTTTACACAATAAAATATAACATCTCTTTATTTACCAAAGGGTACTTGGTAAGAAAAAAAGTTTTAGAGAATAAAAAAATAAAGCAAGTCAGTTTTGAGAGGCTGTGTTTCACTATATACTGTGTACAATTGCGAAGCAGTCTAGTAGCTTGCTGCCTTAATACATTAATACAGATTTGTGTTTAACGCCATTTTACAGTGGCTGTGTACTGTAGGGGTTGAACGACTTCTGATTTTTTTGAAGTCGACTTTTATGTGATGAAAGTCGAGTCGAAGTCGACTAGTCACTGATGACGTCATTAATGAACAAATAAGTCTGGAGCTGTGACAAACACCTTGTGCACAGCTATGGCATATGACAGCGCTGCCCACATGGCTGTTGCTCCTATAACAGCTTTTTTATCAGTTCTTTTGTCTTTGGGTCATTATATTTCTCACAGATTTCTGCTCATTCTAAATCAGATACAGATAAAGTAGCACAGTAAAGATTACATTAATATGAATGCATTAGTGAGAGCGACTGCGTGTGTGAATTAATTCTACCTGGCAGCGTCTCTCTACTAGTAGCGAAGCTGTGGAATTACTTAAAGCGTCATGGCAGAGCATTGAAGTCGACTAGTCGATTAGTCGGTGCAACCCCTAGTGTACTGTATGCATTTCATCGTCAGGATTTTAATTGGACCCATCCATTTTATATTATTAATAAATATAAAATAAAACTGATTATTAATGACATGTCATTCATCACTAATTTGTCTTTTTTATCAAACTATATTTCAAGTCTCGTGGGTGTCTGTATTTAAAATCATGATCCACTTATACCCACAGGACATTGCTGATCCATTCTTTGCCTACTGCAAGCAGCATGCAGACCGCTTTGACAGGAAATGGAAAAGGAAGAATTACCTGGCCCTGCAGTCCTACTGCAAAGTGTCTTTGCAGGAAAGGGAGAAGCAGCTCACACCTGAAGCTCAGGTCCGCTTTACTCTGAGGCAGATATTGTCTTCCATACATCAGACAGTCAAGATCAGTCATCATTAATTTTTGAATGCCTATGATTTCCCAACCTCTAGGCTCGAATAACCACGCGGCTTCAGCAGTACAGAGCGAAAGCAGAGCTGTCTCGAAACACTCGGCAGCAGGCATGGGTGCCACGAGAGAAGCTTCCCCGGCCGCTCACCTCTAGTGCTTCAGCCATCCGTAAGCTGATGCGTAAAGCTGAGCTCATGGGTATCAGCACAGACATCTTCCCCGTGGACACATCCGATACCAGCGCAAGTGTGGACGGACGGCGTAAACATAAGCAGCCTGCCCTCACGGCAGACTTTGTTAACTACTACCTAGGTAGGTGGTTTGAAACAGTTCTCAAATTTCACAGTTCTGTATTCCAATTTTGATACCACAGCGAAACCTAGTTTAACTAATATATGGTCCCATCAGGCTAACGTGACAGTCACGACTCATGCAGCTGTAAGGTTTTCTTTTTCTTTTGTTTTTACTCGCGATCTTTACAACACGCATTACATTATGTATTTCATGGCACACTCGTTTTATGCGTATTTGGTGCCACCTATTGTTGTAGGTGTATTATTGACGTGTCAAAGTCTAGACCCTGAATATAAGACGATCGTGTTTTTCCAGATTTATTTCCAAGAAAAAAACATTGTCTTATATTCGGGTCAATACGGTAGTTCACCCAAAACATTTGGCAGAAATTTACTAACCCTCAGGCCATTCAAGATGTAGATGAGTTTGTTTGTTCAGCTTTACATCACTTGCTCATCATTGGATCCTCTGCAGTGAATGGGTGCCGTCAGAATGAGAGTCTAAACAGCTGATAAAAACATTACAATAATCCACAAGTAATCCACACGACTCCTGTCCATCAATGCATGTCTTGTCAAGTCTGTAATAAACAAATCCATCAAGACATTTTTAACTTGACATCTTGGATGCCCTGAGGTTGAGGTACATTTTCAGTAAACTTACATTTTTGGGTGAACTATTTCTTTAAAGACAGGTAAACAGTCAAAAGTAAAATAAGAACAACTAAACAAATGACAAGTAATAGCACAAATAAATACAATAGAACAAAGATACTGATGAAATAAACAGTCAAATGTAAAAACACTGCAGTCTTCACTATATAGATGAATGCTTTTTAAAGTTACAAACATTATTCAGTCAACAGCGCGGAGTGATTTTCTCTTTGTCTTGTTGCTTGATTATCATTAATGATCATCATTATCATTAATGATACAGACAGCAGCAGCTACATTAGGCCTAATGCACACATCCAATATACTGATACACATGTGGTTTCTTTCTCAACTGTTTACTTTCACTTTAAAAAATAAACAACATTGTTTGAGGATACCCGCCAAGAGGGGCATTTTGACTTTTTTTTTTTTAAATGTGTGTGTTCAAGCACATAAAGATGTGAAAGAGAACTCACTTTGGTACAGCTGAGTTCTCTTTTGCGTCTTTTTGCACTTGAATTATTTAAAATCACTTGAATGTTTAAATTTGGTAAGACTTAAAAACACATCACAATTCTGTCAACTGTCCCAAGTGTCTTTGATGCTGGCCCCGAGCCAGTCCGTATTGTCAAGCCCTGTTAACACATCAGGTCTATGATCTATTTTTTGAGAATCAACATTTATCAACCCACTTAAGATAATATTTTCTGCTTCCTTTTTTTTTTCTTTTCATTTTAATGGCGAAAACAAGCATTGATGCATTTGTAGCATATGACTTACTGTCCCTAACATACATGAATCTGCCTGCAGAACAGCAGGCGGTATCAGACAGTGAGCGCAAGACAGGCATCCCGCTCTGTAGCCTTGCAGCTAGGCACTTGCCCTCCAAATGAGTGATGTTAAGAGCAGATTTGTGGAGTAACCTTGGGCACACACTCCATTAGGTTCCAGCAGGAGGCCTATCCTCTATCAATGCACTTTCTCTCCCTCTTTTTCTCTTAACATTGCTCTTTTTTTGTACTTTCTCCCTCAATCTTCCTTTGATATACTTTTTCCTGTACTCTGATAGCAATCTCAGTATCGATTTGTTCGTGTCTGTTGGTATTCAGAGCGGAACATGAGGATGATTCAGATCCAGGACAACATCGTGGAGCAGAAGAACCTTAAAGACAAGCTGGAGAGTGAGCAGGAGAAACTGCACATAGAGTACAACAAGGTCTGTCCACTGTTGGCACACCAGGCTCTAACTAGCATCTGTTTTGTACTTTAGCGCTTGTCCGTAGTAGCACAATTGTTGACCATTGGTGCTTAAGCAGAGGCACGCACATCAGGAAATAATGAAGCGCTGCAGGAATATTATCCCAGGAGCGTGTTGAAAAGCTCCTGAACAGCTACTAAATAATGCCAATTATGTGTTAGTCTTTCCATTTACTATTCAACTGTGAAAGTCTCCTTTCAAGCTACTTTGTGTTGGACCATCTGCAGAGAGGAATAATAAAAAAAAGTAGGAATTTTGTATAATACAAGGTTATTTTTGTTAACAAAAAATAAGATGACGAAAACTGGCAGTGAATAGTATTTGCTAACTAAAAAAATAAACATTTTGCAGTAGACTTAATTAAATTAAACTGAAGCTATAAATGGAAATGCAATAAAATGGCATAGAGAAAAACATTACCAGTGTGTTCTGCTGCTAACAGTGTTATTTTAGTATTACTTATACCATTGTAGTATTTATTAATAATTTGACACTTTTTTTTTTTTTAGTTTTCATTTTAATTTGTTGAAATTTTAGTTTTTTAACATAAACAATTAACAACAGCAAAAAAAACACCGATCTTTCACTGAAGCAAAAAATAAAACAAGTACAAAAAAAAGAAAATAAAAAAATTGTTTGTGCAAACCAACCAACTACAGTTCCAAAAATACAAAATAATCAAAATAAAAATATATTTATGAGCAATTAAACTAACAAAAATTTAAAAACTAAATAAAAAAAAAATGAAATTTTCAAAACCCCTGGTATAACAGCAACTAACGTTCTGTGCTGTTTTATTTATTTGCCTCCTACCCTCAATACTCCTAAACATGATCTCTTGAAGCAGATTTGTGTAGATGGTGTTTTTTTATCTGGCCCAATGAGGAAAAAAGCGATGAAAGCGAGGAGAGAAAGTTGGAGGAGTTAATGTGGCGTCCATTCTTTCTGCGCCACATGTATTAAGCGGTATTAATGGAGTGTGTGTTGTTAATTACGGCACTCAACATGCATTAGCACAACGCCGGCCTCCCGATGAAAATCAACATCTGTGGAAAGCTGACTGCTTATTCACAAAAGTTGTGTCTAAGGCAGGTCCTGAGTCATCTGGAAATTATATGTAATAATCCTGAATTATATAGTATGCTACATAGTGTGATTGTTTGGTTTGATATTTTTAACGTTGAATTTTTGGAAACCAGTGCATTTGCGTCACCAATGAGAAAATGCTAACGTGTTAGTGTCAGGTGTTTGTCACTGTAGCTATACATTTTCTATAACAGGTATGAGTAATTTTATACAACAGTAATAGTATATCTCAATATATTGTTGTTTGTGCTGTAAATTCAGTAAAAATAATTTATCACATAACCATGTAATATTTACAACATTTACAACAACTAGAAATGGACACATTTCCTTCTTCTATGAAACACAACAGAAGATATTTTGATGTTTACAATGAAAGTAAATGGGGTCCAATATTGTTTGAAGCCCAGTTTTCTTCAAAATACCTTCTTGTGTGTGTTGGCAGAAACATTAAATAATGAATTTGTGTTTTTGGGTGAACTGTCCTTTTAAGTGTCCAAATACTTGTAGGGACCACTGTATATAGCTTGAGCTTATATAGCTTATTAATTTATTTTTGTAAATGCCGTTAAAATTAATGATATGTAACTGTATAAATAATTGCATTATTATGTGTTAGTCCCCGCTGAGCAGTCAGTATTAATCTGGAGTGTGTGTTAGAGAGGAGCTGGTTTTAAATGTTAGCTCAAGCTCCCTACGTGGAGCCTCATCTTCACAGACAGCGGAGATAAGAGGTGACTCTCTGTAGTTTCATTTCACATACCCATAATAACTTCACCTCTCCACTGTTTCCTCTCATCATCGTCTTTATCAAACGCCTGCCTGACGCTTATCTACTGTCTGGAGCTGAGAGTGGCCCCTACACGGCGAAATGCCACAACTGTGTGTGTGCGTGTGTGTGTGTGTGAAAGAGATGGATGTAGACGCAGGAAGTGTAATGCCGTATTTCGTGGTGTGCTAGGCTCTGAATCTGTTAATAGTAGGAAATGTTATTTTTTGCGTGTGGGTGGGTTTTGATGTGTAACATTTGTTGTTTGCCTAAAAGGGGGCATCAGGTGAGCAAGCTAGTGAAACGTTGCACGCGCAAAAGAGAAGGTCTGCACACATCCAAAAACGTATTTTAAATGCAAAATTGATTTCCGTGCGCTCGAAAGACTTTTTTCTTTGCGAAACGAACATTTTCTCCACAAACTCAGATCGCGCGTGTGCAAAATGCACTTTTGTGCGCTCAAAATATGATCTTTCGCACGCAGAATTGTGGCAGAAATGTAAGCCCATAAAAATCAGCCTGGATTTTGTAACACCCTGTAAGCGTATGCATGTATTGGCCATTCAGATGGTCACAGGTTTGTGTACACCTTTGCATTTGTACACATGTTAGTCCGTCCGTGTGTGTGTGTGTGTGTGTGTGCTGACGGACTGAGCTGCCCAACTTGTCCTTGTCTTATCTTATCTCCCGCCTTGCCGCGGTTTTATCTGCCACAGCTGTGCGAGTCTCTGGAGGACCTGCAGAATGTCAATGGCCAGCTGAGGACTGAGGGCCAAGCCATATGGAGCATGATGGGGGGGATCCTTGGACAGGTATGGCTTACCTTCAACTGCCTCATCGTTTCTCTCCCCTGTCCATCTTCATTCCGTCTCTCTCCGCCCCATCCCATCCTTGATCCAGGTGTACGCCTCATCTATCACATCTCCAGTGAGCTTACAGCCCACCCTGATGCAAACAGCTTCCTTCAAGCACTCTGATTAGATTGGGATGGGCCCATATTTTACACTTTCATAGCAAATTTCTGAATTCCACTTCAAACCCATGCAATTCAAGGTATCTTAAAATTAAAGTTTTTTTTTTTTTGTTTGCTGTAACTATTTTCTACCCTCTCAGTGACCTTTAGATTGAAGAGGCTGTTTTTGTTACTGTACCTTTAAGACTACTGTATGTAAATGCAGAGTGTGTCCTTTTAAATGCATTTAAATGTCTATTTAATTTACATATCATTCCGTCTCTCTCCGCCCCATCCCATCCTTGATCCAGGTGTACGCCTCATCTATCACATCTCCAGTGAGCTTACAGCCCACCCTGATGCAAACAGCTTCCTTCAAGCACTCTGATTAGATTGGGATGGGCCCATATTTTACACTTTCATAGCAAATTTCTGAATTCCACTTCAAACCCATGCAATTCAAGGTATCTTAAAATTAAAGTTTTTTTTTTTTTGTTTGCTGTAACTATTTTCTACCCTCTCAGTGACCTTTAGATTGAAGAGGCTGTTTTTGTTACTGTACCTTTAAGACTACTGTATGTAAATGCAGAGTGTGTCCTTTTAAATGCATTTAAATGTCTATTTAATTTACATATCTTTTTTTTTTTACATTTTTAAAGTGAATTTAAGTATCTTATATAGGATAATAAATAGAATAGAATAGAATTTTAAAACATTGATCCATTTATTTGTTTCTGTTATCCTTTTTTAACATTATTTTGTACCCTGCCCCTTTTAAGTTACGCTAACGTTCAGAAGTTTGGGGTCAGTTATGTTTTTTTTTTTTTTTAAGAAATATTTATTTCAGCAAGGAAGTATTAAATTGATCAAAAGTGGCAGTAAACAGTCACAGTGTTACAACTGATTTTAAAATAATTCTGCTATTTGCTGTTATACTGTTGTATATTTCAAATGCTGTTTTTTTTTTAATCTTTTCAAAACTTAATCCTGCAAAAAAAGTAACATGATTTTCACAAAAATATTAAGCAGCACAACTTTTTCAGCATTTATAATAAGAAATGTTTCTTGAGCAGCAAATCAGCTTATTGGAATGATTTCTGAAGAATCATGTGACACTGAAGACTGGAGTAATGGCTGATAAATTCAGCTAAGAAAATTCATTCTCTTAACATGAAAGCAGCTACTCTGAAATTACCTTTTTAATAATTGGCTAATGTTTTCACTTGAACTATTGGTAAAGTGCACACCATCATTTGTGATTGTGACATCAAAAGCATAACTATAGCTCTCCACATTTTTGCGGCTTAGTTTCCATTAATGCACATTAATGACCGTAAATTTGAACATTTATGTCTGCACGGTACATCAGACTCTTATTTTGAAAGCTATATTGTGCGTTATAGCTTATTAACCTTTAGTTAATAAAGTGTAAAGTGATTTGAGTCGACATCTCTTTGGCTAATAGACATCTTTCACACTTTTGCTCTATGTTGTAGACGTTTTGGGTACTGAGACGACATATGTGGATCTAGCGGCGTGAGTGTATTGTTCGCAGAATTAGTTTTTGACTTCACAGTGGAAAGAGTGTAAAGAGAGCAAAAAAATCTTCTCCCTGGATTTTTTGCACCTGGGTATTGAGCTGTGATTGAAAGAAATCTAGATTGTAGGCAGCACCCCACAGGGTAGACAGCGTTGAGGTAATTCTCTTCGCTGTAATGGGCCTCCTGTTTGCGAAATTCTTTCATTTGCACTAACTGATTGACCTGTCATTGGCCATGCACTCAGCCCTGACTCTGTTGCTAAAAGCCGCCAACCTCTCCCCTGCTCACTATGGCAACCACATCACCAAGGTGCGTCGCCATGGGTGACGGTCACTTAATGAGTGCGAAAATGTGAAAGTCTGAAATGTTCTGTAGATCTCTCTTTTTGTCTAAATAACAGTCTGTGCTTAGAATGCCATTTAGCAGGATATGCGCCGAAACAAAAATGTCATTGGCAACAGCAACCGTGAAAGGTATTGTTAGGATTCTGGATTTTAAAATAATCAAAAAGTTTGTCAAAAAGTTTATCCTCTTTGTTGGAGCTAAACATTGCTCAATTTCATGCATATTCTGCGTGTGTATGTGAAGAATTAGTGTAGTGGTAAAAAGCCCAGGCTGAAAGGCCACACACACACACTTACAGCATGGCTTCAGAGTGAGAGCTTGTCACTGAGGAGGTATCGCCAGTCCTCTGTGTTTTGTCACCTTTTTAATCACTATGATACACCCAGGAAGAGTGAATTTGATGAGATGCCTGTCTGGAATGGAGATGAGAGTCCACACTTCCTTATGATAACCTAAAACCGCAACAATCTGAACTGCCGCATAAATCGCTCTCTCACTTTTGATACAGCGACAGAACGTTTAAAAGGTGCCCATTTGTATGCACCCATGCGCACTTGTTTAAAACTTAATTTGCGCTGAATAACCAGTTACCCGGCTTAGAGAGTGTGTAAGATGGTTAATTAAAAGGATCTCTTAAAATGTCCTCTCGGCAGATAAATGCCGCAGTAATGGAGCGAGAGGGTAGAAGGAGGCGAGGAGAGCCGAGTGGTCTGGAAAAGAGCGAGCCAGTGAATCTGCAATGATGGTCATAAATCACATAATTAGAAAACGCACACCGCTTAAGTAGCAACATCAGTCAAGGCGCCCCGCTCCTTTGTGTCATCTATCTACTACATTTTTGTTCCCTATCAGTCATTGGCGTCTGCACAGAACCCTCAAATTATTGATGATCTCAAGAGAGGGTCTTGTCTCTTGTGCCACCCTGGGTGAGGGAGAACTCTCACCGGTGCACTTTGAAAGGGGTATGAGAACGTCTTTGGTAGCAAAAGGATCTTATGACCTTTGCAAACTTGTATGCAGCAAGTAATTTGTTATCATAAACAAAATTATCTTCTAAATTTTAATAACACTATACTTTTTGTTGTGTTACCTTTACAGCATTAAATTACAGAAAAGTAATGCTGTTGCATGAGCGTTTCTAATGCAACGGCTGGGGTATTATGGCAAATTTGTCATTTTTCCTCTTGTCTGAGCAACATAATCAGTCTCTCAGTTTTTTCTTTTATGTGAAGTCATAGACACTACTGTGGAATTTTTTTTTTTTTTTGGAAAGATTTTATACTTTATGTCCTTTAGTTGCATTTTAAATCATGCTTCAACAATGATATCAAATCGAACAATGATCTGATTCACAAATTGTACTGATCTGGTTCCTGACGTGATATGAACAAGCTATTATTTGTGAACAAGTATTCCACAGTTTTGGATGTTCTTGTCATAGAGTTTAAAGTTATTGGCAAAAGAAAACAACAACGGCATAACAAAAACCAAAATCACTGCTTCTTTATGAACCATCAGTCATTCTCAGAAAATGACAAAAATTCTGCAATGGATTTGAAAAAAAAAAATATTTATCAGGGATGTAACGATTCATGATATTGATTTCACAATACGATTTTCTTACAATTTTGTTTTAACAAAATGAGATTTAATACAAATTATAACTGAAAAAGTGCCCTTTTATTATTGCTTGGACAAAATGCTGCATATGTGTTTGTGAAATTGAAATATGTCAAATAACAAAACTAAATTGAAACCCCAAATCAAATAAATAAAACACAAATAAAAGAAATCTCTTCATATAAACAATTCAAACAAAGATGTTGCATACATGCATCATGAGCAGTTTTTAATCTAAATTAGAATGTATAATTTTGAAATTAGAAGTAAAAACAGAACGGTCTGGCTTTTATCTTGTGAAACTATATTACACAAAACATCTGCATGAAACAAAAACAGCAGACGGCCTGAATGAAAACTCAAATTCACTCTCTGACAGCAGGTGGCGCTTATGGAACAGCCACAATATAGCGGAAAATCTAGTCAAAATACAAGTAGATAAATATAGATAAAGTAGAATTAAAATAGAATAGAAAGTGTTAGAGTTAGAGGGTCAAATATTAATGAAAAATTAATATAAAAATATTTACATTATATTACTGTAATAGATAATACATAAAATGTCTGGTGATGCTGATTTGCATTCCGGAATGAAAGTCACATAGCCACCTCCTCTAGGTGTCTGTAAGATCTAGCTCACCCTTTCTTTCTTTCATTTCCCTTTAAAAATAAATACAAAGTGAGATCTTCACCAAAAAATAGATGTGATGTCAGTGTACTGGCAAGAATGTCAAGTGACCACAGCAGGTGGCGCTTATGGAACAGCCACAATATAGCGGAAAATCTAGTCAAAATACCATCTAAACCAGGGCTGCCCAAACTCGGTCCTGGAGGGCCGGTGTCCTGCAGAGTTTAGCTCCAACTTGCCTCAACACACCTACCTTTAAGTTTCTAGTATGCCTAGTAAGAGCTTGAATAGCTGGTTCAGGTGTGTTTAATTGGGGTTGGAGCTAAACTCTTCAGGACACCGGCCCTCCAGGACCGAGTTTGGGCAGCCCTGATCTAAACATTTCTGAAGACAGTCAATTCCCCTCAGAGATACATTCATATAAACTCCTACCCCCAATGGGCTTTCTGCACAATCACTTCCGCAGTGATTGCCTCAGTCAGCTGAGTTACATCCGGTGCTGCGCTGGAAGCCGTTTTTGCTATTGCTGTTAACTGTGGAGACATCGCGGGAGAAGTTGATATTTTGTACTCGCTTTTTAAAAGAGCTTCCCCGGATTACTGTGAATGATGCTAATCGCATTGTGAGGCAGTCTGTGCTCCTGTAATGTCCATTAAACTTTTACTAAGTTGGCACAAAAACAAGCACAACTAAAGCACTGCTTTTCTATGTACAAAAACTCTCTAAATATTGTAGTGAAAGTTTTAGTGTTAATTTAATCAGACATTAAGAAGTTTTTTCTGAAAATTTCATAAAAATTCAGCTGTGGACTCATGAATTTGCTGACAATTTGTGGGGAAGAAAAAGTCATTTAGCTCTTTCCCCACATTAAATGTTGTTTCTCTAATTCCTGTTTATCTTTAGTCATGTTTAGAAATTGTATGTTTTTGTGAATGTAAAAAAAAAGATAAAATCTTATATTAAATTAAATATTTCATGTGGACATCAACATCATTTTGGGCTCCCCAGACAAATCCACCCCATTTGGAAATGTTGTGAGTTATATGACCCCTCTCACAGTACCAATGGGATTCTCCATAATCTCTGCAAGACAGCAAAGTCTGTCTGGCTCCCTCAGCAGATGGCCAACCGCCTGTTTGGCTGTTTTGTGAGGCTTTTTTTTTTTTGCTTTTTATTTTTTATTTATTTATTTGTTCTTAGACAAACACCTTTCTCCAAAAAATATTCCCACTGAAATAGTGTGGATAGGCGGGACTGTCCACAGTAACCCAGAGGTTGCGGGATGTAAAACCTGGCGTCTCCTGGCTCAGCTCTCCAGCCTGTTATAATCCCTGTGGTGCAGTGGAGAGGGACTGTCACCATGGGCACACTGAACTGAGCACGCTCCGATTAGAAAGCCTCTGGGAGAAGCTGCTCTGTGTTGCTGTGCGACCGGATCCTACTAGATAAGTTTTCTAATTAACCTAGACAGAAAAGATGCAGCGCAGATGTATAGACAGAAAATAGAAAACTTTTTTTTTCCTTTTCCTGGCCACTATCCTCTCTCCAAACCCCATCTAAGTATCTGCTGTAACAGAAGAGTCAGGTGACTTATTCTCCTTGTTCATGTCCATTTTCACTTTATCCTTATTGCATGAAAAATTGGAAAAGGCCTTTTTTTGGAAAAAAAAAAAAAAAAAATTTCTGAGTTTAAAAAGTATGTTTCCTTTCATTTGCACTATTAGAGGGGTCACAGTGCTTTGTGTGATGCATCATAGCCATGATTAAAGCTATTAGGAAGGTTGCACATAGAATAAATGAGAGAAAAACAGGCATAAATTGAGTTATTTCTGTGCCAATAGCAGCATCAAACAGAAATGCAATTATTCAAACAAGTTTCCCAAATACTCCAGCCAGCTTCCATTGTCACAAACCTACCATTTATAGAAGGCATCATTTGTTAAGGCAGTGTTTCTATGTCAGACCCACTCAAACAAACATAAAGCTCCGTAGAGCCACAGTGTTTGTGCTTATTGTTGTCTCTTCACTTGAGGATCTGATAAAAGTATTTTAACATTGAAGAAAAACATATATTGAGGGGAAGACAAAGAAAATCCTTCACACAACATTGACAGAAGAAATGTTTTATTATATTAATAAACAAGCAAAAAATGGCAAAATGCTCAGGGACAAAACATTTTTGATTGAACAGTAATGATGATGCAAATTGAAAATGTTCTTGCTCTGAGCACTTTTTTCCTCTTAATAAATGTACTTTTTTTTATGGGTATCTCCATTTGCATTTCCTTTCATTTATTTGAGTCTTCATACAATAGTAAAATATAATGTAATTGCTCTCTTTATCTGTCTGTCCTTCAAAATAATAATCTATCGATCTATGTATCTGTCTGTCCATGTATCTGTCTAAAAAATCACCAAAAACAGATGTGTTAAAAATTAATGTTATTCTCTAAAATATTTAATTTGATTTCCGAATAGTGCTCGATAAGGACATGAATACCTCGAGTTGTGGAGTTAATTGAGGAGAGAGATGTGCTGGCAGACAGTAAAACAGGCTGAAATATCCAATAGAGATGCATTGAAGGACCAAAGCCATTTCTAGTTACCAGAATATCATACTGGAGGTGGACTCTTTTGACTGGGGCTAGTAAGCATCCACCCAGATCACCTTATCAACTGTATAGCACTGCCCTGGCAAACACTCAAGTAACTCTCAAGTTATGAAGGTCTAGTTTAATATTATGCTGTTGGTTTGTTAATAAATAATTTTATGTGTCTTTCAAATGTAGTGAATTTCAGTGTTCTGCTTTATTTGCAGAAAGTGAACTCTCCTCCAGTTCTGAAAGCTCCCAAAGAGAGAAAGCCAAGCAAGAAAGAGGGAGGATCACCAGGGAAGGCATCGAACCTCCCAGCTATGCTCTACAGGTTAGCTTGTAGCCGTTACAGTGTGCCAGCTGGTGCCCGGCATCAGTCATGACACCTGGCCACTGTTATTCTAATATCATTTTTAAATGTAGATCTAGAGTTCATAAATTATGCACTGAAAGAGAGAAAAGTGTGTGAAAAGATGCCTTGCCTTAAAAAGCAATGTTTTAATGTGGTTGTGTGCTGTAAATAAGAAACAGTTTCGTGTTCTGTGCAGCTGTGGGATCTGTAAGAAAAACCAAGACCAGCATCTTTTACTTCTATGTGACACCTGTAAGCTGTATTACCACCTGGGCTGCCTGGACCCACCTCTCACACGCATGCCGAAGAAGACCAAAAACAGCTACTGGTGAGAACAGGAATGGGAGATGGAATTAAAATGTGATAAAATTAACTTCTGGAAGTGCTGACACTTCTTGAGCAGGGTTTCTAATATTCAACACTGGCTAATAATTGTAAAAATAAAATGTAACGTTTAAAATAAGTTAATAAAAACACTCGCTTATAAAGATATTTAAAATTTAATCCAGTTACGTGAGATGCTAATAAATAAATCTGATTTATATATGGGTCAGGGAGCATGATTAATTGCAGGATTTTTATCACTTTTTGTGTTATAGTTAATTACTAAATTAACATGTTAAGTTCATAGCTCTATTTTTTTTTGTGTCAAAATAAAGCAAAATAAATAGCAAATTAAAGATGCTGTTTCAAATTCTAAGTGCAGTATCCCACTTGCAGTGCTTCATGTTCACTTTCATAAGGTTATACTAACTGTCACTTTGAAAATGTATGTGGAGCTCCACAGTTACGTGCGTGAGCGTTTCTGTGTTTTGTTTGTTTGTCACGCTGAGCCCAATGCTTTCGCTGCTGATTCGAGTAATTCATTTAATCCATGAATAAGAAAGCGTGATGGCGTTCCGCGCTGCTGGATGGAAATTAGAAAGCATTTGAAAGATAAAATTGTGTGGGGGGCCAAGTCGTACCTAATTACTGGCAATTGCCTGCCCCTGAGACAGTAATACTGTATAATCAAAAAGCTTTTGCTCGCACTAAAGAATGTGGCTATTCCTTCAATTTTATATATTTTTTGCGGGATATTTTAACAACACTTTTGTTGGAATGAATATGACACATCTGCTTCCAATGGAAAAACATTGGCATGGACCTTGAAAGCCACTCTCTCATCTCAAAGATTTCTCCATATTGAGAAATCAATAAGGTCAGATGAAAGCAAAAGAGTACCTGACTCTTTTGTCTTTCTGTCTGTCACTCTTCCTTTTCCAGGCAGTGCTCTGAGTGCGACCAGGCCAGCAGTGACGAGGCTGACATCGCCATGGAGACGCTACCGGATGGAACCAAAAGGTCCAGGAGGCAGATCAAGGGACCAATCAAATTTATCCCTCAAGAAATGAGCCCAGAGCCCAAGAAGCTTCAAGTGAGAGGGACTGTGAGTATGAGCATATCATGAGTTCACTGATGACGAACATGTGTTAAAAATACTTGAAAGAAGGCTCCTAATACCCCTTTTCCACCAACACAAAGTCAGCGCTGGTGTCAATTCTGCTGCGTTTCACAGATCTCCACTAATGATAAAGGTGGTTTTCTAACCAAGGACCCACTAGTGCCATCACATAATCGGTTATGTGTTCGTTCAGCTCTTAAGTCAGTGAAAACACACTGCAAAAAATCTTACTTAGTATTTTTGTCTTGTTTCTAGTCAAAATATCAAAAAAAAAAAAAACTAAATTAAGTGCATTTTGCTTAAAGCAAGTAAAATTATCTGCCAGTGGGGTAAGTTAATACTCTTGTTTTAAGAATATTTTACTTACCCCACTGGCAGATAATTTTACTTGTTTTAAGCAAAATGCACTTAATTCAGTTTTTTTCCCCCCTGGAAACAAGACTAAATATCTTAAGTCATTTTGCTTATCTAGTAAAAGTATATTGATTTAATTTTTAGATATTTTGACTAGAAACAAGACAAAAATACTAAGTAAGATTTTTTTTGCAATTTTTTTGCAGTGCATGGCTGAAAGAGACCTACACATCTCTTGAAAAATGTTGGAAAATGGGAATTGCATGGCTCAAGGGACTCTGTCTACTAGTCCATTTTAAGCTTAGTCTATCTCTCTCTGTTTGCCCACTGGATGCAACAAATGCCTCGTTTGTAATGGGTTTTTAATGTTTTTGTCTCGTCGCTCCGGCTGGGACACGGCATCACAGTATGGTAAGGGGCGTAACATTTCCGTCACACGCTTGAGGTATTCGGCCAATCACAACGCACTAGATAGCTGGCCAATCAGAGCACACCTCGGTTTTCAGACCGATGAGCTTTGTAAAAATCTGACCCCTTTTACTCTAGCTGTTGTCTTAGGTGAAACTTTCATTCACTGGTTTGAAATTGATTCTTTGCTCCTCACGTCAAATAGATATTTGACTTGTTCTTTACTCTCTTGAGCTTTGGCAGAGGTTATCGGTGAAGGTCACAACAGCTAGCCTTATTGATTACTTTGAAATGGACAACCTAAACACTCTATCATCTTTAATTATTTAATAAAATCACCTTGAAACTAATACAGCCATAATTAAGCCATCAGTGAAAACACCACTGGAACTGCTGCTCCCTAGCATTTCAGTTTTATTGGAACATTAGCATTTAGAATTGTTTCCGAAACTTAACGAGCTGTCTTGCTGACTAATCCATACAAAGGCAGCTGCTATGGAAGATAGCTCAGCCTCAGAAGTGACTGATTTGGAACGCTCTATAACACTATACTGTGCTATGTCTTGCTTGCCTTAAAATTGATTCAAATACATTTGACATTTGCATGTTGCTAAACTAACAGCACAATATCAAAGACTGTGTATAGGTACCAAGAAGTACCAAGTGCACTCAGTGGGAGAAAGTGTAACACACATTTTGGCAGAATAAGTCCTGCCATAAATAAAAGAGCCAGCTACCAATAGGTAAAGTCATTGCTTCATTGCTGCTATTAGAAGCTCCTGGTTTCCATAGACAGTCTGTGTTTTTAGACGCACACTGGGCTGCACATGCGCTTTGGTTTTACCAACATGAAATATAGACTTTTTAAATGATATTTGAGAATAAATAAATAAAACATGTATGGGACAGTTTATCAGATTTTGCTGCTGATTTAAAAAATGTTATAGAGTATGAAATTTCAGTATTTCTCCATGCATCCAGGAATTTTGCATTAGGGATAAAGATTTCCCCCCTCAGATTATGCAACGGGTTCAAGTTGGTCTCACATATCCGTAGCACTGACCAACAGAAAACTGCTGTACAAGCTGTTCTTCACACAGCGCTACACAATAATAGACAATAGACTTTTTTGCCAAGTGTGTAGTATTGTTAGCTCGTCTGTGATGCCTTAAAATGCTGCCTTTGTAGGCAGCTCACTGTAACGGAGTGAGTATTTAATTGTCTGTTAAATGATCAGACTTGTACACGCACTACCTCTAGCTGTAGAGGCAGAGCGCCACATTGAAGTGTGAGGGTAGGTGTGTGTGTGTGTGTGTGTCTTCTCAGACTTGAGATAGGGCTTGTCTTTCAGGCTCTCCATGGCTTCCACTTATCACTGTCCAGCATTCTCTGATCCTGCGATAGCGCTCCGGCAGCCCGGCTCCCTTAAGGAAGACAAAAGATATCCATCGGAGAAACGACATGCTCTCCAGGCCTCCTTCATTTTGTCTTTTTCAACCTTTTGTTTTAAAGCTTAGTCAATAAACCTTTCCCTGCCAGTTTTTTAAATCGAATTAGAAAGTAAAGCACAATTTTAGATGGCTTCTGCAGCACTGCAGCCACTCGCCTTGGCTGACGGCTGTCAAAATAGCTCACACATAGGTAAAAGGAATGACTTCTGGATGATATTTTTTGTTTGCTGCATTTACGTGTGAGTGTGGGCTTGCGTATGACAGGCAGGGTTAATTTGTTTTCCCTTTAGTCTCCGAGACGATTGCCCAGAAGTGAGGCGAAGGCTTCAGTGGAGAGCAGCTGGATTAAAAGGCTTTTATTTTTCTCTCTCTTGTGTAGCTCCGGCTAAACTCCACCAGAGAAAGATGCTTCATTGCAGAATGTATCTTCACTTGCACTCCAGAGTGTGACAGCAGCTGAAGGAGCCCTGCTTTGCATTTTTAATGCCCTTAACCAGCCGATGTGGCTGTGGCAAGCCCTTGTAAAGCTGTGTTCTGATTTATCACGGCCAGCTAATCGACCCCCCGCCATCCCTCCGTTCAGGAGCCAGTGGTGTTCGGCTTCACTAATGTGCCGCACTTTTCTGCGTCCACTGAATACCGGCCCTCCTGCACAACTGAAATGGCTCTCATGAATGACACACACTGAGATTTTGTCTAGACTCCATTGGACTTAAAAAGCTTTATGCATCATTCGCGAGACTGACGGCATTGAAAATATTGCTATAATTAGTGGTTTGCTAAAGCATTTTCGTCATACTTTGGTTTTTCAAGTATTAAACTTTGACACATAACTCACCATTGGTGATACAGACATCAATGATACTTCAAGATTTGCAGTTTGTGGAGGAGAGGTGTACTATTACTTTTCTAAGCAATCAGACTTTGGAAGACAATAAAATAGGTGATAAAATTCCATACTTACTGTAATGGAGGGCTTGTGTGATGTCTTGAGACCAGAATATCATAAACGCTTAGAGTTTGGCTCTTCAGATTTGGCCCATTAAGGAACCACCAAGCAACCATCCAGAACACCCTAGCAACCACAAAGCAATGCCCTGACAACCACCCACAAAAAAAAAAAGCATCGAGTTTAATGGGACAGGCACATCTACTGCAATGATTTAAACAAAAAATAATCTAAAAAATATATATTTATTAATTGTTTTCCATATTTTAATGTAATCATTTATTATTATTTGTTTAGTCTTTTATTTATGTATTTGTTTATTTTCATTTTTGTATCGGTATGGTATGGTTTTTTAGTATTATTTTCTATACTTTAATCATTGACTATTTTTAGTTATTTAGTTATGTATTTGTTATTGTTTCACTTTTGCCTCTGTGCCATTACCCTAAATAATCCTATGGTTTTGTAAACTTTGTAGCAAACTATTTTTCAGATAAAACACCTTTTTGATTGTAATTGTATTTTATATATATATATTTTTTTATAATTTATTCATTTTTATATTTATTTATTTTTATTTTATTATTTTATTATTTTCATGTTTTCATCTTTTTTTATTTTTTTGCTTTGTAGCAAACTATTTCTCTGATCAAACACCTTGTTGATTATTTACATATCTGTCCTTGATTTTAAGCCATTAGTCTTCTATGAATTACCGCAGTAGAATACACTGTGACTGTCCCTATGTATGCACCAATAGTTTTTCCAATCATGTGGAAACTGATTCAGTGTTTTTAAAGATGCAGCATTGCAAGGTCCTTAATTAAAAAGCAGGGTTTTTTTCACAGAGTCGTCTCGACTGTCCTCCAAATGTAGATTGTTGTTTACGTCAGCCCTTCACCACATTTACAGTTCTTTACCATTACATGGAGGATCTCTGTGTGGAGGACCACTGATCTAGCCTTTAATAGATTACCTTAATCGAGTCTGCCGTAATGAAGGAATAATGAAATAAATGAGTGCCTTTGTTTGGTGCCACTATCGAGGGAGAAGTGGCAGAGGCATTTAAGTGCCAGTTGGCAGTGTAGAAGCAGATAATGATAAGTGTTCCATCTGCTGTGTGGTGGCAAGCCAAAGGCGACAGATGGAATTGTTTTCACAATCTGTTTAAATATGTTGTCGTTTTTTCTTCCCTTTTTAAAAAGCCCCAGCTTGGCACACTCGTGTGCCATTAAAAAGTATGGTTTTTTCGCAGAGTCGTCTTGACTGTCCTCCTCCAAGTGTAGAGTGTTGTTTACGTCAGCCCTTCACCATGTTTACAGTACTTTACCGTTACATAGAGGATCTCGGCACAGAGGACCACTGATCTAGCCTTTAATAGATTACCTTAATCGAGTCTGCCGTAATGAAGGAATAATGAAATAAATGAGTGCCTTTGTTTGGTGCCACCATCGAGGGAGAAGTGGCAGAGGCATTTAAGTGCCAGTTGGCAGTGTAGAAGCAGTTAGCATTTATAATGATAAGTGTTCCATCTGCTGTGTGGTGGCAAGCCAAAGGCGACAGATGGAATTGTTATCACAATCTGTTTAAATATGTTGTCGTTTTTTCTTCCCTTTTTAAAAAGCCCCAGCTTGGCACACTCGTGTGCCTGTTCGCATTAAGGTGGAGACGTTTGATTTGACTCGTGCAATGCTGCTGTGGTTTTTCTTGTGTTTATCAGCCACTGATGGAGATGAAGAGTTGATCTGCCGATGGTAGACAAGAAAAACAATGCAAAAAGTCTCTAAATGAACAGGAGAGCACACTGTGGAGAATGAGTTTGGATACTCAATTTTGGTTCATGGCACACAAAAATCCAATTTAACAGCCAGGGTTGACCCAATTGCGGAATGGCCTTATATCTGGATAGAGAGGGGCACTGGTTGGGGCTCTGCTCTGGGCTCTAAACAAAGGGATTGAATCCCTCTATGGCACACAAGGGGGAGCCGGACTGAATGAGAGATTTGGATTAGAGAGGAGCACCACTATTTGACATCTGTAGCCGCTACAGTGAGCCGCAAGTCACCAGCTGCTCTGCGTGAGCTGTTTACTCGTGGAGAGCGTTAAACTTTGTTCTGTTTGCTCATAACTGCAGATTTATGCTACAGGCTCTGTGTAGAGTTGTACAGTAAGAAAGTTATTTCCCTTAACCAGGAAATTAACGTTCTCAGAATTGACAGACAGTTGACCCTGAGAGGTCAAGTAAATATCTACAGCGGATCTAAATATTTATAATTAATTATAACTAGTTATGATTAATTATTCATATTTCCCCATGAGCTGATTCGCTACACAGCTAATGGACCCCTGCAGTTCCCTCATTTAATGAACCCCTGTTCTACACCATTATTATTGGCACGAGGCAACGCAAAAGAACTAAATGGTTCATGCAAGTTTGCTTTCAGCTTTTTTTCTATTTTTGATGTACTGCATGGTTACTCCCGTCATTTGATTGTTTTTCTTGTGGAAAATAAGTTGACCATTACATCAGATCTCCTTATGCTATTACTGTGCAGCTAATAGACAATTGTAGATTGTCTTATAAAGTCTAAGTTGCAACATTATGTATAAGATTTTATTGACGTTCTAAAATGGCCGATAAAAAATCTTTTATGCCAATGCATTTCCAAAAATAATGTAGGAAACAATATTGAAGCCGATTGGTCCATTCTGGATGTGGACATTCTGAGGTGATGTCGTGTTAAGTAAAATAACAAATCATGTCAAGTCACTTTTTTCATTGTTTTGTACTTCTGGACTCATTTTTCATTAGTTCTCCTTTATGTGGCTTGTTTCTCAGTGGGTTTTTAAGTGACAACCATTTGAATTAATGATTTTAAATACCCCATTCAAATTCCAATCAGAAGAATTCTTCCGAATTCCGATGTCCGTTTTTTAATAATCTTAAATCATCTTAAATACAATAATCTGACTCTAGAACTGCTGCGTTGTTCAGTGTGCCGTATTATGACCAAATGTCATTTTCCCTTTGACCCAGAGAACCAGAGGCCAGAAGAGGAAGAGAATGTCCATCTGCGAAGAGGAGAAGATCGAGGTGAGCTTTCGCTTCCTCACCCTGCACTCCTTTATCTCCCTCATCTACCTCTAATATTTAGAGAGCGTGATGAAGGAAGACAGCTTGTGTATGTTTACACAGCAATCTCAGCCCTCTCTACTCACCAGCTTCATTCAAACACACACGGCGGTCGCCTCTAATAGCTTGCGTTTCCATAGGAACCGTCACCGCGGGAGCGCAGACAGAGGCAGTCAACTCTGCAGAAAAAGCCCAAAGCCGATGACACGCGGACCGAGTGCACCACCTGCAAGGGCCCCGGCGATAATGAAAACCTAGTGAGGTGGGTAAAGCTTGTGCGATGCTCGTCTCTGAAACATCTGCGCACATGAGAGCATGTTTGATCTGGCTCGGGGTGGGTATATTCGCCTCGTGATTAAAGTTCAGGCTTCATTGTAAGGACTCCGCCATGCATGTGTGAGTGAGAGGTAGCGCTGGCTCCACAGGGCCTTCTCTATTTGGCTGCCACATGTATTTGCTCACTTGGTTTGGCAGTAATGAGCTGTCTGATTTACTGTCACCACTTGGCCTCCGGTATGAGGTTGCGGTTCCTTCGCACAGGATTATTTTAACGTAACCGTCAGATCCAGATCAATTATCCTGTCTTTTCCCTTCCTTTAACACCTCCTCGTCATACTTTTCAATGCCGTAACCTCGTTATGTTTTTGCTAAAATATATGCAAGCATGACTAAGAGACTTTTAATTGACACTCATAATAGAAGTGCCAAACAGTCGCCACTTCCGTCACATCACGATTTGACATAAAGCTGTTTTGGGGTAATTGGAAAGTGGCCTGTCAGGTTACAAGTACTTCAAATGCTTTTACAATGCAAAGTAGGAGATATGCCATGTTTTGTACCATCATGCAAAGCGGCTAGTTTGGGTTAGCTGCTGTTTGGCCTCAGCTGTGGTGTGAGGTGTGTTGCCCTGACTCTTTCTATCTTTGCATTGAACAGGTTGTGAGAGCCGGGCACCACCTCCTCCCCTAGAAAAGGACAGGTGAGAGAAAGACAGGGAGAGAGAGAGAGGGAAATTAACTCGTTTGAAGAGCGGCGTTGGGGTCGGGGAGGAGTTGCAGATGGCCGCCTCCGACCGCCACCTTCGACTGTCCCTTCTGCCCAAAGCGGACCGTGCCATGGACTTGATCATGGTTAAACGACGGTCCGGCGAAAATTTTCTGAAAGAACGAAAAGACTATCGTATGTGGACTAACATGAAATTGATTCAGTTTGCACTGGGAGGGGGAGATCAACCCTCATTGGACACTATAAAAGACCTTTATATGGACAGAATACTCCGTTAGCCAGTTTGGAGGCACATGCTCACCCATAGGGTCGTTATTTGTGGAATACACGAACCGTGATGCTGGTTTTGGGCCTTTTGCTCTGTGGATTAAGCCAGATTCTGGGCTGTTTCACCATCTTTGCAAGCGATTTGCTGTCATCCCGCCTTCTTTGGGCCTCCTGGACTTTCTTTTTCTCTCTCGCTTTTACATTGGCTCTAAAACAGCACAGACCTCGTTCGATCAGCTGTGTTGATTGAGTCAAATGTGCTTCTGAAAGCTAATTGTGTCTTCTGTCTTGCTTCTTATTATGAATGCTTTTAATGCTTTTGTTTCTTGACTCTGCTCTATTTTGCCTCTGATATGTGAATTATATGGTTAAAAGTGATTAGATGATAACGAGGTTAGAATCAGTAGAATAGTGTTTTAAAGTGTTTGAATTTTTTACTAGTTGTGGTAGCGTAATATAGCTCAATATGATAATATCCATACTTAAACTTAGTTATTTCCTTAGTACCATATCAGTGATTGGGCGAATCTCACAAAAAACGATATATTTCAACATTTTTAATATTTTGACATTATTTTTATGATATTTAAGCACATTTTCCATCTCTGCATTTTATTGTATTTATTTGACTTACTTTTTTTGTGATACAATATGCAATACAATAGTTTTTACTTTATTACAGTACTTTCTTTTAACTTTTTGATATGAATTTTTTACAATTTAATTTATTATTATTATTTTTTTTATCTTTTTTTTGCATTACGTTAATGACAGTTGGAATAAATAATGTGCTAAATTGTCATGAAACTAATGTCACTATATATATATATATATATATATAATGGAGCATATTTGATTTTATATATATATTTATATATATATATGATTTTATATGTATATTATTTTGCTTAAATAATTTTCTATTATTTAAGCAAAATAATGTGACCTGCAAATGTTCTCGACAGGAGATTCGCCCAATAATGGAGTCATAGAGTGCTAAAACTCTGAAGTTACAGTAATTAGTTGTGAACGTAGGCTGTATTGGTATTTTGGCTTGCATCTGCTTTGACAGTCATGCTGTTTTATGCTTTGCAATGGCAAAAAGAAATCCTAACACACTGAAAAATGCTACATTCCCAAACCCTACATCCCATTCCCTCCTATCACAGTATATTGTACTATTGACAGTGTAGCTACATAATTCCTAGCAGGATGGCTGACAGGTGACGTGAGGCCCTAAGTTCCCACTTTGACGGTATCCTGTGGTTTCTACCTTTGTACCATTGGGAACAGCCTCATGTCTTCTCAAACTGCTTACTTGCACTGGACCAGACACAACACTTCCTTCCCTAGGATTTACACATCTTTCCCTCTCTGGATGACTTCAGCTGCCCTTTAACCTCTCACCCCACCGTATCTTCAGCCACAGCTTTATCTCTCTCTTCTACAGCTGTCTTACCTAGCTCACAGCTTACTGTGTGTGTAAGTGTTTGTTGGGGTACATACTGCATCTGCTTTGCCGAGATAATGCGGCAAGATGGAGCCTTTTAGATTACAGGCCACCTGTTAAGTCATGTGATGTCAGTTTAGCAAAGTATTGAGCTCATTTTATGTTTTTTTTTTTTTTCTTCAGGCGTAAGCCATGCTGCAGTTTTTTGTTCCAAATGTTTTGGAATTGAAAAGTTTATCTGTACTTGAATTTTATTTTATTTTTTGTACTTGATGTATTTATTAAATGTAAATATTTGGCATGGTAATTTATTTCTTAGACATTCCCCATAGTTAATGTGTTAATGTGACTTGAGCTGAGATTATGGCATTGAATTTGTGAGTGTTGTGTCCTGTGTATATGCAGTGATTTTGTTACCATGCGTCATTTAGCGCAAGTGTGGTCATAGGACAGAGCCCTTGCTTCATGCAAGCCTTAATAAACTTTTTCACCTCATTGCCACAATGATGAATGAGTCTCTGTTAGTCCGGCTAATGGATTGTGCAGGTTGTCTGTTGTTTATCACTAGAGAAGTGTCTGGTTCTGCCAGCCTTCATTGGCATCAAGTCTAGTCCACTCTGCAGCTTATTCTGACCAGAACCCAATGTTTAATGTCAGGATAAAATATTTATTCATTTATTTTTTAAATCACATATTACAGTGTTTATTATAAATGATTTACCTATGCACATTTTTTTTATTCATGTGGCCTCATGAATAAAATTTATTTATTTTTGTAATTCAGTGTTTTTTTTTTACTGTCAAAATACCACAATCTCCCTAACTTGAACTTATACAATTCTTCCACATTGGCAAAATGACAGTTTTAGCATGATTGGTCCGTGCTGAAGGAATGTAACCAATGTTTGATAGAAAGGTCATGTTGAGTTTTTCGTCATTGAACTAAAAGTTTCTTTGCAGCAGTTGTGGCAGCTGACCAAAATTTCCAGTCCTTCTCATTTACAGGAAAATGAGAATTATCATTCAACAATAACAGAACAGGATCTTTGGGAAAACGAATCCTAGTGACCTTGTACAAAACATCAAGCACCATATCCCAAAATTTTTGCACATCTGGACAGTCCCAAAGCATATGCATCTAAGTGCCCAGGCAGCCTGGCCCACAAAAATTACAATAAGTGTGTGGTGATGATAAACCCATAACATGTCATATGAGTGTGGTTAAATATGCCCTGTGGATCAAATTGATGATTAGGGTTTGTGGATGCATGAAATTTATCCCATTCAATTTTTCTATGAATTGGAGTCAATTCTGATAACCATACTCTTGCTTTTGAAAAAAAAAATATATATCTGTTTTATGGTTTGAGAAACAAAGTAAAAATAAGAAACAGTTCCTTCGTTTGGCGCATTGGGAATCCATTTCACTACCGGATGAGTTTGATGAGCTGTACCCCCAAGGTATGTGCCTTTAACACTGCACGTATTTTAAAATGTAGAAATAAAGTGTTATGAAAAATATTAAATCTTTAATTAATTCTTGGAAATCTAGGAATGACTTTTTTCCTTTTGTGTCATTTAAAGTTAGAATCTTGCAGACGAATTGGCAAAATGAGTTCTTTTTCTATTTGTTTCCATGAAGACTGTGAACAAGGATCAAACCAGTGGCCTCATAATTGTAATAAAACATATATTAATTTCCCCTTCCCTTTGCAACAGCATGTCTTCTCTGATGACGTTTGAGGGCTGGGCAATAATCCCTCCCATCCAGCAATGATCAACGTAATTCCTGTTGAACAAAATCAACCCTACCTCAATTTCACTTACATATACAGCACAGTAGGGAGGAAAAAAAATTACCCCAATTTCCATTGCATGCCAACTTTTAATGACAATTAAACCAACCAATCAGAGCTTGTTTTATTTGCTGGGTCATTTAGTGATGGGTAAATCTGACTGATAAGCCAGGCTGATAAATTGACCGGTATTTGGCTTTTTTTTTTTCTTTCTTTTTTTTTTTATCCCGTTTGGCTAATTAGTGTTGGAAACACAGACTTACCAGAGTTCACAGTTTACTTCAGTTTTAATTTGTGTTTTTAACCATTCCAGTTTCTTTAATAAATAAATAAATAAAAATCGAGTTTTTTTTACAGATTTACTTTTTATGAGTTAAAATCACTTTTTCAAATGTACTATTTTTCATAATAATAATTTAAAATGATTAAATATTATGTAAAACATTTATTATTGTATTTTATTTATTTGCTTGTGCATGCATTTAGCAGATGTTTTTATTCAAAGCGACTTACAATAGAGGGACATAAGCATTTTGTCACCGAGTCAGCGATATTCATAGTGTACAATGCCACGTTTATTAAAAAGCTAGATTTGGAAACAAATTAGACCAGAGAACAAATGCAGAGAAGCACATTTTACAATGTTGTGCATGTAGTTTACATTAAATTGTGTGATGCACCAGATTTACATCCGCCATTCTGCCCTGTAAGATATTGCATCAGTCTTCAGAAACACTTTTTGGT